TCCGGGTAAACGGCTCCGTAATAACTCAGAGGGATAAAGACACACGTCGTTGCCTTTTCGTCGTTTTTGCATACTCTCCCACTGATTGTAGCTCGGATGAAGTGGAAGATAACTTTTGAAGAAAGCTTTTTGAACTTCTTCAAGAAGCTATACGTTCAGACATAGTACTCGTAGCAGGTGCCTATAATGCCCAGATAGGTAGCTTAAACCAAGCAGTAAGATATTTAGGTGGCTATTTTGGAAATCCAGATCAGCGAACAGATAATGGCGATCGTCTGCTGCAACTGTGCTCAGCCAATCGTTTATTTTTAGCAAGCACAAATTTTAAGCATAAGGAGAGACATCGTCTAACATGGCGACCCCCTACACCAAACCAACGATGGACTCAAATAGACCACATTGCCATCAGTCATCGTTGGAGAGGATCGGTAGAAGATTGTCGCTCATTCTGGAGTACCTGCTTGGACTCCGACCACGCCCTCATACGGGCACGCATCTGCTTGCGCCTCACTGGACGCAAAAAAGCCACAGTACAAAGAGCAATTAGAACTGAGTTGAGTAACGAGAAAACCAAGAGTAGGTTCCAGGAACAACTGAGGACACACTTAGGTGGTTCTGAAAACGAGGCTGACCCAGATGTTGCTTGGAAAGATATACAAACAGCTGTGGAAACAGCAGTGACATCTGTTAGTGATTTAAACCAAAGGGTTACCAAAAACCATTGGATTTCTTCTAAGACTATTGCACTGATAGATTCTCGTAAACTCATCCCGTCAGGCTCTGAACACGATGAAGAGCGAAAACAAATCAGATCTAGGTTAACCAAAAGTCTACGGAACGGTCGTGAGCAGTGGTGGGTAACGAAAGCAAAAGAGATGGAAAAGACAACGGCTGTAGGTAACACCAGACAGCTTATCAGACTAATAAAATAAACCGGAATTAAGGGGTTAAGTGTAAGTGGGACAATCACAGAAAAAATGGCACTCTTATGTTCTCTCAGTCTAGACGTTTAGAACGATGAGCGGAACATTCTAAGGAACAGTTCAGCTACTCTACAACTACCTACCATTCCCAGACAGCGTGAATGGAACATGGAAGTAGATCCGCCGACTATAACTGAAGTTCAAAAAGGTATAGCTAATCTGAAACGAGGAGGGGCAGCTGGTCCAGATGGATTGGCTCCAGACGTCTTTAAGGATTTTGGTCTAGTTTTGGCGATTAGGTTAACTAATATTTCATAAAATCTGTGAGTTAGACGTGATCCCATCTGATTGGTCGCAATCACTGATTGTTCCGATATATAGGGTGTCAAAATCATCCTGTGGTAGCCATAGAGGCACTATTTTGACTAACATAGCATCTAAAATACTAGCTTCAATATTTATCGGGTGCCTAACAAAGACTTGTGAACTGCAAACACGAGGGAATCAGGCTAACTTCAGACCTTTATGTGGCTGCATCGGCCACAAGTTCACCATTCGTCAGGTTCTAGAACACAGGCATGCTTATCGGCGTCCGGCAATGGTGGTCTTTCTTGACCTAAAAGCAGAATTCGACTCTGTAGACCGAGAGGTTCTATGGCAGTGTCTGTCATCGAAAGGCGTACCTCAGAAGTACATAAACCTTGTGAAGGCTCTTTACTCGAACACTGCTAGTCGAGTCAGAGCTTATGACGAACTGTCATCTGATTTTGCAACCTCAAGTGGTGTCCGACAAGGCTGTCCACTTTCTCCACTTTTGTTTAACTTCATTATAAACTTACTGATGGAAATAACGCTCTCGTCGACTGAATTCTCAGGCATTGATCTCCTACCAGGAGGTCCACTTATCGACTTAGAATATGCAGATGATATGATCCTGTTTGGTGAAGACTCTAAAATGCAGTCTTTTGATAGCACTGAGCAACAATGCCAGAATGTTAGAGATGCCCTTCCCCCCTTTCTAAATGTAAATTGTTGCTTCAGAACTGACCTGCGTCAACACCTGAACTTCACGGCTGCGGAACGTGGCCATTAAGAGTAGGAGATACTCATAAGTTACTAGTATTTGATCACAGACGTCCTAGAAATATTGCCAGCATCTGCTGGGATCACTGGATAAGTAATAGTGAGGTTAGATGGAAGGTACTAGGGAATGATGGTAATTTAGTTGGTGAGGTTGTGAATCTACATCGACTGAGATGGTTGGGTGACGTATTGCACATGTCCAACTACCGACTACCACGAAGCGCAATGCTGACTAGTGTTGAAGGGAGATTGGAGAAAGTTATGGGGAGCCAAACGAAAAAGTGGCACCAGTCATTGAAGTCGCTAACTTCTCGTCTTAGCCATGTTGGTAGATGCATGACTGTCGTAACCAATGGTTGGAGACTCTGGGTGATATGGCTCAGAATCTATCACAATGGCGTCGATGCATACACTCCTTGTCTTTCCTTAAACCATAAGATTAAAATCGCTTTATATCCTTCGTTCTATGAACTGTTTCTTTCTTTCTGTACTATGTCATTATACACAATCTTTCTTTTATATATTACTACAATTGAAGTGACTACTTCTATGAATTTGATGCTTATTTTGTTGTGCTAATGAGATGTGGCAACTTGGGCCGATGCATGTATGTGTCTGGTCCTACGTTGTAGCTGACTGACCCCGAGAGAGATACGAACCAATTGTAACGTAGAGCACATGCATATCTGTCTTAGCTCTCACAATCAATCCTTATGTATAAGTAAAATATCAAAACGATGAACAGTGCAAAAGTGAAAAAAGTAAACATGACGTTGGGAGTAAATTAAAAATTTTCCTCAAAAGGGACTGATAAACTGAAGCAATTAAGAAAATATAGTTGTCATAACAAAGTAAAAATTAAACCTGTTAGTCAAATCCTGAATTCATTGGAATCCAAGTGGCCTACGAAATCCGAATCGTCCGACCATTTATTTTGTGGTGTTATTTTTGTATATAAACATGTTCTTTTGCTATAGAAAGACCTTGTTTTGCTAGTTTGTTGTATTGTCTTTAATCTCAGTCCATCCAGAGGTCCAGTGTCTTGAACCCTGATTGCTCATTCACAATTGTATCATGGAATGTTATATGTTGGCTGTTAGATTAGAAAGTTCCATCAAGGTGAGAAGAAATCGGCTTGAGAAACGATGTCTTTTCGTCATCTCCGAGTATGCAACGACAGATTACAGCCCGGATGCAATCAAGGATGAATTCTACCACTAGTTAACTGTTCTTCGGTGGGTTGATACCCAATTTTGAACCTGGTTCGCTTTGATATTTGATTGAAACAGAAGCTGCAACCGATTTGCTGACATCGATTCGTTTAGGACAATGAATTTGTTGGCCACTAAATATAAGATTAACGCAAACAAAGACATGATCAGGGTCCACATAGGTACTGCAAAAGGAGCACCAGTCTTGTGCACAACCACGCCTGCGGTAGCTGATCGCGATGTGATATATCTGAGTTCAGGTTTGAGCTTCAGAGAGATGATATCAGGTAGCACATCGGCGATGACTATACTTATGGTTAGTGATGACCAGAAATAGGCTTTAGTTTGTACAAAGTTGTAGTAGACAGTCGTCGTTACCCGACCTGTGCATTCTAGTCTCCAGCATGTACTACAATGTCTTTCAAATGCACTTCCTGTAGAAGAACAGTTAACTAGTGCTAAAACTCATCCTAAATCGCATCCATGTTGCAATCTGTCAAAGCGTAAGCGTTGATGAAAAGACATCGTTTCTCACAGATTTCTTTACACTTTGATTGAGCTTTTTAGTCTAACAGCACATAACTGACTGTTATTGGTGATACAGTTGATCAGTGCTGCTTCAGCTCTAGCACTCAATGCAATGCCGACGCCTGCAAAACGAAACAAAGATGCCTCAGTGTCCTCGGATAATTGCACGCAAAAAAACTTTTCGAAGAGACAGAGAGCCAATTTGTAGTGCTTCATTAGAGTCAAAAATATGAATATCATATAGACAATAAACGTCGACATTAAGACTTTCTAATGACGTCGCCAACCCCATTTGTTCTACGGTCTGCATTGGTGTGCGAATGTTGGAGACCAGTTTGAATTGCATACGTGCTTTCAGAAAAATGGCTGAGTATTCATATCTGTCGGTAGCATTCAACGTCCGATTAGTTCGTGACTTGAGATCGTTTAGATTTGACAAGGTTTTCGCCATAGGCGAGCTATTGTAGAAGTTGAAAAATAAAGGAGCATACAGAATAGAAATAGAGGAATAGTTAAGTGACGCAATATAAAACAAAAACGGATACTACAAAATTGTTTTGAGAATGAGAATTAAAGCGTGAGTGGTTTTCCTAGTTTTAGTGATCATTTGTTTTTTGTGTGGTCTGGTATACTTCTTGGGAGCCCAAGCCGTGGCAGGTAATTTTCTAAGAGACCCACTCGAGCCTTGGACTTAGAGGTCTAATCTATGAGTCTATAGATCAACGTTAGGAGATTCAGTTCCATGGTAGCCAGTGACCAACACCAGGTTCATGCTTCATTTGTTTCCTTAGGATCCTGGAGCCCATGTGTATCATTGGTTTGGGACCACGGCTTTCCAACTTCCGTAGGTAAATCTTCCGTACCCACCAGCTTTGGTTAAGCACCGGTCATCCGCTTTTCGTCTTGATTTTTAAAATATGCCACCGCTTCGAGTAGGACTTTAACAGTGTCCGTCTACGCGTGGGCTTATGAAAACATTTCTAGATTGAGGGCGGACTCCCTACCCTCGGCCGTACCAAGGCGTTTGTGAGTTACCTTTATTATTCTTGGATTCGCCTTTATGGTTTTATCTCGTGCTAATGGCATATGTCTACTTGTACCGATTTCTACGTTGCATTTGACCGAATCACATTTTCGTTCTAATTTCCATGAACATCAAATTAATGTTGCCGAATAGCAGTTATTGTTTGTATACCACGAACGATATTCGTATGATTTTATTTTATAATTCATTTTATAATTTTTCTTAATACAGATTCCCTGGATCAGATGGACCTGGAATACCTACAGGTCACGGTACTCAGGGAGGAGGAGGATCAGCCTATGGATCTCAAAATGACGCAGAAGATTTATACAACTAAACGATTGTCATAACATTTTACTTTTCAGTTTATTGAAAACTTTAGGCTCAAGCTATCCTGTGTCATCAATTTTCACCTACTTATGCTTCTGGTTTGAATTCTAATTATCAGTTATGTGACGTCTGACTGATTAATTTTTTCTATCCCAAACTGTTCCCTTTGTAATTCAGACAGAATTTGTACCTGGCATATTTCCATACATTTATTTCATGTTATTACTTCTCATTCTACTTAGTTATGTCTACAATGCGCAGTATTCCCTTTTACTCTTCGAACATTCGAGATGGGGCTATTACACATTCATGTCTCAAGTAGTTACAAGTGAAATATCTTTTGAATAAGTATTTTGTAGTACGGTCGATCCAAGTGGTATTTTGGGTTCCAATTCTATAAACTGTAGATCAAATTTTAACGTTGCACTAAAAGATAAATCTAAGCTCTTCTTTATAAGTAAATAATTACAATAAAGAACAGAAAAATTTGAGGTCGATATTACCTGTGTTTCACTTCAAAATGGCTATTAAGATTTAAATGAAGAAAAATTGAATATATCGACTCTAACTTTATAATGATCCTGGAAAGTAGTAGATAACTTCCATTTTAGGGTGTGTATTACTAATTTGATTTCAGACGACCTTCATTCGTACACTTAGTAACGTTACGAGCCTATAAATCTCATGAACTCAAGTCTTATCCAACAAACTGTTGCATGAACTTTAATCATATGTCGATTCCTGAGCTGCTAAATTCTAACTACCGATCACTAATTAATAAGATGAACTATCTTCAATTCCTGATGATGTGGGTACATATGTGACTCGTAAACGTGCTCGGATCACTGTATAAGTCCTGTTTTACCTAAAGTATATGGGAAGAGTGCACTCTTAAATGGGATCAAGAAATGTAGAAGAACATATTCAAAATCTGAAAATCATCGTACGACTAACTAGGAATTATTTACAGATGACTCACTGGAAAACATTACTGATGTTATCACTTGTCGCACTAAAGCAATTTTATTAGAGTTTATATTGACTTACATCTCCACAACTAGAAGGATTACAGAAGGTAAAAGAAAGAATATACAAGGAGAAAAACCGAAAATGTAGAGAATGTGGCAATAAGAATGTGAAATTTGGACCCATAACAGTAACTTTACCTTTCCTCAAAATTGAAAAATTGTTGTTACTCCCACTTCAACCTGCATTAAAAGAGCACATTGATCCGTATTAGTTTGCTTACAAATGCTAAAGAAGCACCTTATATGTTGTTGTTGTTCTGCATCACAATAATGTTCTTCTTGGAAATGTCTTAGAAGGACGTTCGATGCGCTTTTCTGAATTTTACTCCTGCTTTTGATTCTATCTCAAGGCGCTAGTACTGACGGCTGGATAACCAACTGGCTATGTACCTACCTCTGGAATAGCAGTACACTACACTTGGAGTAAAGTTCTCAGTGTCTCTACTGTCGCATGAAGGTGTGCCACAAGGGGCTGTTCTTTCACCTCTTCTGCGTGATCTGCCATCTTCCACAGAAAACACTGAATTATGCGGATGAGCTCACTGTATGTATGCCGATTTCTGCCTCTTTACATTCCAAAGAAATGAATGAGTTTTTGTCTCGTATTGAGTGGTGGTATGTTGTTAATGGTCTCATACTTAGTCCGTCTATTTTTTTCTGTTTTTTGTAAAGAAACTTGTTGAAATACCTCGTGCTGAGAGTTATATATTGTACCAAAATATAATATTGAATAAAGCCATTAATAATAATATTTACTTACATATTACAACCTCCCTTCAGTTTATTTCTCCGTGCTTGCTTGGGAATGCCGTTCACGTAATATTTTACGGCCAGAATAGTTGAGAAGTAATTCATATTAGCATGTTTCCGGATCTTGATGTACTAAGAATTTGTCTTCTTCACTACACACAAACCTGACTATTTCCAGGTGTGCATTCTGACAAGAAATCTGATCATTTAAAAAGTATTTCACGCGTAACCAGCAACTTTGGTGTTTTTGATAATCGTGATAATCAAAATGTCTTCTCTCTCAATTTATATATTACCGGGGTACCTGATACTTTTTCTCATCATAAGGATATAATAACCTTATCATACTATCGTTAGATTATCTGAGTAAATATTTGGCGGTTTCTGAAATGTGGCTGGATATTATCCATGTAAACATATCCGCAAAAGTGATTCGCTCACTTGCAGAACTATCCCTAGTATCAACAATGTCGTAAGTTGCATCACAATTGCCACATCCTACCTGTAAGTCAGATGATAGTACAACATCAACTGAAAAGTAACCTAAACCACAGTTCGGTTATCGACTAAGTCTGTATACCGTTTTATTTATTTATTTTGACACATGAATATTGGTACAAGAGAGCGCCAATATATATGCGCCACACAAAACAATGAAAATTCAAGAGGAATACAAAGAAAGAAAAAAAAAGCTAAGGAGCGCAACAAAAAAAAGAGAACAATAACGAAGAGATTGGTGTAAGGTAATGTGCTAGTAATCAGGGAACGCAAAGGTACAATCAGAAGAAATCTTTCAGGTAAGGGAGACACAACCACTTTTTATGAAGAAAGTAAAAGAAGGTTACAGCAGGATCGCCACTGGCTTCTATTCTGAGCCATATCTGATAACGTCTCTAGCCACTGTGTAGCACCATCTCTCAGACCCCAACCAGGGAGTCGTGAAGGACCAACACAAGCCAGTCCTTTGCAGCTTTCTTTCATGCCACGACACCATGTCATGCACTGACCACCTCTCCGCTTCTTCCAACCAGTCCCAGAGTCGGCAAATAATGCACGACGTGGAATTCTCTGGGACGACATTCGTAGAACATGTCCAAGCCACCGAAGTCGGTGTTTCAAGATGGTGACACCAATTGAATTATCATCTCTGTGCCCGAACACACGATGCCGAACCTCTGCATTACTGACATGGTGTTGCCACTGAATGTCAGCAATCCTTCGGAGACAGCGATGATCGAACACAGAGAGTCGTCTAACGTCCTCAACTCGGAGAGGCCAGGTTTCACAAGCATAGAGCAAAACTGCTCTCACCGACGCGTTGTAGATCCGACCTTTTACAGCCAGACTAACATCACGAAGGCGCCAAAGGTGGCCCAGATTGGCATAAGCCGCTCTGGCTTTCACTATACGTGCATTGATCTCATCACTCACACCCCCACCAGCACTTATGCAGCTACCCAGATACACGAACTTCTCGACTACGTCTATCTGCTCACCATCCAGGGTGAGTACAGGATTGGAATCCTGCCAGTCTTGTAGAAGTACTTTGCACTTCGAAGGTGCAAAGCACATACCATACCTACGGACACTGATTGCCAACTGATTAAGTGCGGATTGCATGCCTTGGGCATTATCGCACAGTAAGACAATATCGTCCGCATACTCAAGGTCGAGAAGTCTTTCTCCAGGCAACAGATCCACACCACCATTACTTACATTCATCAGAGCTGTTTCCAGAATGTCATCGATGGCAAAGTTGAAGAGGAATGGTGAGATTGGGCAACCCTGCCTAACCCCACTGCTCGAATGGAACAATGGAGAGAGGTGGTTGTATGCCCTCACTCTGCCTGAGGTGTTTTATATAGGGCTTTTAGGATGTTAATAAACTTCTCAGGCACACCCTTCTTCAATAGACAATCCCAGAGAACAGTCCTGTCCAACGAATCGAAGGCAGCCCTGATGTCAAGAAACACTACGATATGATCAATACATCCTCGACCAGAACGAAAACCAGCCTGCTCCTCGCGAGTCAATCTTTCTCGGGTTTTGAACAACCTACGAAGTATGACGGAAGCCAATAGCTTGGACGCAATCGGAAGTAGACTTATCCCCCGATAGTTGTTACAGGAACGACGTGAACCCTTTTTAAAGATAGGGACAACTATCGACTCATTCCATGACGTTGGTACACTCTCTAGTTCCCAAACCTTTGTAAACAACGTCGTCAATTCCTTAGTCAAAAAGTCACCACCATCTTTAAAAAGAGCCGGAGGTAAGTCATCTGGGCCAGGTGATTTGTAACGCTTCAAGAGTTGGAGTTCCTTGCGGACTTCCTCCTCATTTGGTGGATCAGTCGTCACCGGCCATGGAGGGCAGGACAGTCTGACCGATGTTGCCGGAGCAGCAGGCCAGTTGAACTGCCCTTCGAAAAATTCTGCCCATCGTCCAAGACGTCGATGGATGTTAGTGATTGGCATCCCATCATCCTCGCAGATTGTTTCACTCACACCAGACTTCTTGCTGCCAGTGGCTCGGATGAGTTGGAAGAGCTTCCGGTAGTTACCAGATGCAGCTGCTGCTTCCAGCTCATTAGCACGCTCGACCACCAGGCTTCTCGGTCCTTACGCAAGCTTTGCCCAATCTCCTTACGTAACATCCTTCGTTTATGGTCAAACTCACGGTCACCCGGAGTAGACCGACGGGCTTCAATGAGTTGTAAGGAACCAGAAGAAACCCAGTGCTTATAAGCGGGACGTTTCGCAAACCCACAACTGACTGTTCCCGCCATTTTCATGGCGTCATGCAATTGCAACCAATGCTCATCTATACTTTTCGGTGGAGTGGTAGCTAGCCTAGAGGCTAGCTCGGTTCGATACTTACTTGCAACAGAAGTTGCAACCAGCTTGCTAACATCAATCCGTTGATGGTGGTCACTTCGTTGTCCACTGAAAAGTAAGGTAAGATTGGCGCAGACCAAGGCATGGTCAGAGTCCAGATAGGTACTCCAAAAGGAGCGGCAGTCTTGTACACAACCACGCCAGCGGTAGCTGATCGCGATGTGATCAATCTGAGTCCAGGCTTGAGATGCAGAGGGAGGACGCCAGGTGGCACATCGGCGATGACTGTGCCGAAAGTTAGTGCTAGCCAGAAACAGGTTGTGGTCTGTGCACAGTTGCAGTAGACGGTCCCCGTTATCTGACCTGCGACCAACAAGTCCCCATCGGCCACC